AAACAAGATGCAAAGCTTCTGGTGCCTCTTAAAAGCACACTAAGCAAAATGCCACTAATGCCATAATTCTGGCTGAGGCTAACTTTCAAAGCCAGTTAATCACACTTCAGCACACAGTGATGAAATCTTGTAGCATCTAGGTCGCTCACAAGCTGGTACCAAAACAAAAAGTTTGAATTATATTAATTTACTCAAGTGAAAAAATCAGACATAAGGCCCTTGTTCAAGCTCACACAAGTCTGGCTGGTCTACATTTGAGAATGAAGAAGACCCAGCTGTTTTAACACAAAGATCAGCATTTTATCTTTAACAAGGGTTTATGGGGGATAACTTCACATTTGCCAAGCACTGAGCTTTTATGCCAAGCTGCTTCTCAGCTTGCATTGATTCAAAGACACCATAAAAACATTTCAGTAGAAAATCATACCCGATATCCTTAAAGAAACAGAAATTACAAAGTGATTAAACAGCCAAGTCAGAAGGTATCTCAGCTGTAGCTACTCTAAGGAACTCACTACCAAAGACAGTAGGGAAGTCCAGAGTTCAGGACTGAAAAATATCAGTGTTTGTCTTCATTGCTGTAACTGAGTGTTGTGTATGCTGGGTACACTCTTCAACTCCAACCTCATTATACCAACTACTGCCAAAAAAGGAAAGTACCTCCTTTTCTGTGACTTGATTTGGCAAGAGAAGACAAATACCTCCAAATGTTAAAAGAACAGGCATAAGACTAGTGAGTATCAGCAATTAGAAAGGAGAAGACCTGTACTTCTCACAGTCATAGTTGAGTTTGACTTTTCAAGTTTGTTTCTATTTTTCTTTATTTATGCATTTAAACATGGAGGCTTGACTGCAGGATGGCTCTAACCATAAAAATATCTGGCTCTAACCAAGCAAGTTAAAACACACAAGTACTTTTACAATGTTTTCTTACTCCAAATTCAGGGGCTTTTATGTTTGACAGATAAATTGGAAAAAATATTGTATATGGAGAGCAGCAAAAGATAAGAGAAAAATTAACAAGTGTAGTAATAGCAACTTTAAACACACACACAAAAGCAAGCTCCAAACCACGCAACAAAACCAAAACCCCCAAACAAAAAATTAACAGAGTCCACTGTGCTGCAGTCAAATACCAGTCAAACACATATATTAAGCTACAAAGCAGTTCTAGTTCCCTAATGAATTTTCACATGGCTTAAGACACAAGGATATTCTAATAACCTGTCTTACCGAAACCAGCTAAGTCCAATACTGCAACTGCTCGAGGCACAAGACTCACAGTTAAGTTTTCAGAAATTTAATTTGTGGGGCAGATGCAGAATCCAGTGCTACAAGTTTGGCAAATCTGAGACAACCTCTACAATGCAGGAAAAGCCTGAACTGCTGCTTTTACTGACGCTGAGAAAATATCAACCCTGACTAAAAATGTACTCCACCCTTGTTAAAGGCAACAAATTGATTTGAGCTCGACTCTTGGCTTCCACTACATTTATGCCTAAACAAACTTCAATTTGACACACTTAGTTGGTCACCAATGAAAAGCCTAAGGCTACAAAGTTGTTGCAAGAGACAATTTTCCCCGAGACATATTTGTCTCATACTATAAACTGAAGTGAAGCTTCATAAAGTTTCTGATGCTCCAAATTGTTCACAGGACCACACAAACAGGCACTGTATATGCAGACTTCAGAAGCAGAGCTTTGCTAGGAAAGCACTCTAGAAACAGTAGCATGCCAGTGTTCTCAATTAAAGACATTTTATCGTAAGTGAATAGTGACTTCTTTTCCTGCTTAAAGAATCCTTGGAGAGATACTCAATACAATTATGTAATGCTCACAACAGGCTATTTTTCCTGGCTAAACAAGGACATTCCCTCAGAAAAAAAAAAAAAAACCAAACATGCATTTTAAATTAAGACAGTAATGACAGAATAACAGAAATCAGCAGAGTATCTTTTTACCCCTAGAAAGCATTATGTTCTACAGTTCCAGAAGAAGGGAGAAAAACGAACAGACATTAAACAGAAGAAACATCTTCTTCCAATTCGAGATTTAACACAAGTTTCTCTCCCTAGCACTCAGACAGTAAGAAAAGAACGACCTTCAGATTCTTTCTGATGTTTTGCTGCTAAAGCCTTTCTTCCTTCTGGTGTTTCAACCGCATCAGCTACACTGAAATCAAGCCCTTAATTCTTTTTAAAGCATCTTTAAGCTGGAATTTTGTTGCAGCTCTGTCCACACCATTTTTCCCTTTATCAATCACCCATCACTTTTTAAGAGCTTCTTTTCTTTCACATTTGTTTCTCCTTATTCTCCTGCTTTTGCTCTTTATCCCAAACACCCAGCAGTCCCACTATATCGATTAGCAACAGACACACTGTATCTACAGAGATGTCCTGCTCATAGCAAGGACAGTGTTGTGCAGGAGAGCAGACTTTTGGCATCTTCAGGGATCTCCTTGGTAGAGTATCACCATGGGATAAAGCCCTGGAGAAAGGAGGGGCCTAAAAAAGTTGTTTAGTATTAAAGAATCACCTCCTCCAAGTGAAGTCAGGTTAAAACACCAGGAAGCCTGCATGGATGAAAAAGGAACTCCTTAACAAACTCAAACGAAAAAAGGAAGCTTACAGAGGGTAGAAGAAAAGACAGAAAGCCTAGGAGGAATACAGAAAAATTGTCCAAGCAGATAGGGATCAGGTTAGGAAAGCTAAAGCCCTGAGAGAATTAAATTTGGTCGGGGAGGGGTGGGGGGGGGTCAAGGGCAACAAGTATATCAGTGTTAAAAGGAAGACTAGGAAAAACGTGGGTCCTCTCCAAAAGGAAGTGGGAGACCTGGTTACCCACAACATGGAGAAGGCTGAGGTAGTCAGCAACTTTTTTGCCTCAGACTTCACTGGCAAGTGCTCCAGCCACACCAGCCAAGTCACAGAAGGGGAAGATGGGGACTGGGAGAATGAGTAACTGCTCACTGAAGAAGATTAGGGTTGAGGTCATCTAAGGAACTTGAAAGTCCACAAGTCCACAGAACCTGATGCAATGGATTCGCAGGTCCCAAAGGAAGTGGTGGAGGAAGTAGCTAAGCCACTATACATCATATTCAAGAACTATGGCAGTCTGGTGAAGTTCTCTTTGACTCAAAAAGGGAAAACAAAACTCTCATTTTTAAAAAGAGAAAAAAGGAAGACACAGGGAACTGCAGGCCAGTCTCACCTTGCTGCTTAGCATGATCATGGCAAAGATCCTCCTGGAAACTGTGCTGAGGCACATGGAAAATAAGGACATGACTTGTAAAAGCCAACAGATCTTCGCTAAGGTCAAATCATGCCTAACAAATTTTGTGGCCTTCTACAATGGGGTTATAGCAGCGGTAGATAAGGAAAGAACAATTGTCATCATCAACCTGGACTTGTGCAAAGCATTTGATGCTCTATCTTGTTACATCCTTGTCTCTAAACTGGAGACACATAGCTTTGACAGATGGGCCTCTCCATGGATAAGCAATTGGCTGGATAGTTGTACTCAAAGAATTGCAGTCAATGGCTCAATATCCAAAGGGAGATCAGTGACGACTGCAGCTCCTCAGGCATCAGTTTTGGGACCACCTCTGTGTAAAATCTTTGTCGGTGACATGGACAGTGGGATCGAGTGCACCCTCAGCAACTTTGCCAACACCACCAAGCTATGTTGTGCGGTTGACATGCTGGAGGGAAGGGAACACATCCACAGGGAGCTTTACATTCCTGAGAAGTGGCTCCATGTGAACCTCATGAAGTTCAACAAGGCCAAGTACAAGGTCTTGCACCTGCATCAGGACAACCCCTGGTATCAATAGAGGGTGAGTGGAGAACAGATAGAGAGCAGCCCTGAGGGGAAAGACTTGGAGGTGCTGATTGACGAGAAGCTCAACACAAGGCAGCAATGTGCGCTCACAGCCCAGAAAGCCAACTGTAATCTGGGCTGCATCCAAAGCAGCAGGACCAACAGGTCAAGGGAGGGGATTCTGCCCCTCTACTCCAGTCTTCTGAGACCCTACCTGAAGTGCTGTGTCCAGCTCTGAGGCCCCCAGTGTAAGGAGGATGTGGACCAGTAGCAGCATGTCCAGTGGAGGCCACAAAGATGATGAGAGAAGCACCTCTCCTATGAGGAAAGGCTGATAGAGTTGGGGTTGTTCAGCCTGAAAAGAGAAGGTTCTGGGAGGACCATGTTGCAGCCTTCCAGTACTTGAAGGGGGCCTACAAGAGTGCTGGAGAAGGACTTTTTATAAGGGCACGTACTGACAGGATAAGGGGTAATGGCTTCAAACTAGAAGAAGGTAGGTTTAGAATAGATACAAAGCAGGAATTCTTCACTATGAGAACCGTGAGGCACTGGAACAGCTTTTCCAGAAGTTCTGGATGCCTCATCTCTGGAAGTGTTCAAGATCAGGTTGGATGGGGTTTTGAACAACGTGGTCTCATGGAAGATGACCCTGTCCATGGCAAGTCCCTTCCAAGCTAAACCATTCTGTGATTCTATGATATTTTCATCTTGCTTACCAATTCCTGCTGCCTCTCTTACCTTCACAACCAGTTTCCCAAAAGGGTCTAAAAGAACAACTTCAGCATTTAAATTCTATCACAATTTGTGGAAGTTTCGCACAAATGTTTTTCAAGTTTATTTTCAAGGCAAGAAATTAATCTTTATCTACAAAGCTAAAATAATCACATAGACCTACTGAGTAGAAGAAATACATCACAAAAGTTATTAAAAATGTACTGCTGGAAAGTGGCAATCCTACATTTTGAAGGGGTTTTATCCTGTTGACAAAAGTACTAAGGAAAAGAGTTGTCTTTGGGAAGTGATTTAGAGAAATTAAATTTTACAGTATTTTATTGCATTTGCAGAAGTCTAGTTTGAATATTGAAGATGAGAAAGAACTTACTGGTCCTTTGCTGAACATCGGTTCAACGCTTCTGACTTCTCCCCACATTAACCAGTAAAATGTTTAATGCTACCTACCTGAATCATCAGCTAATCTGCTGATTCTCTCCAACACAGCAATACAATCTCTCTCATCATCACTGACTTCTTTCAAAGTGTCCAGCAAACTTCGAGCCACCATTTGCCTAGTTTACAAGAAAGATTAAAAAAAGCAGCATTATTTGTGTCCAGAAACCCAGATAAATGAAAATATTGTGCAATCATACAAGTTTCTCACATCAAAGAGTAAAATGTCACATATCTTCACTTTTAATTCAGTAAATTTAGTTAGCCCTGCTTTGGGAATTCTTAATTGTGATACCTGGCATAATCTTAAAGAACTATTCGCTTTAAATGTAACAGCCACCAAGACCAAAAACAGTAATCATCTGCTAGGAGGGCAAACAGGAGCTCAATATTAGGGAGTCAGTATCAGCCTTCCATCCACATCTCTGAGTTCCCCAGCTTGTTCCATACTAAGCAAGACAACACAACATTGTTAAAATGTTTTTAAGTAGAATTCTGAACTTATTTCACAAAAGCATGAACACTCAAGCTGAAGATTTCGACATCAAGGGTGACATTTACAAGTTAAACTTCATTAAAGTGCTACAGGTATATACTGTGAGCAGTGGGTATATACCGTGAAAATAAAACATGCTACCCAACCCATGTGTACCTGTGACATACATTAAGCAATATAGAAAATGAAACATTAAGAAAATATGAAACAAGTCATAGTCAACTCAGTTACTACCTCTAATGCACAAGAAATTTTTCTGTGGATTAACTTGTGAGTGACAAGACATAGTCACATTTGTGGTTTTACCCTCTAAGGTTCTCTTGCAGCCTACGTTACAAAATCATACCCATTGGTAACCTAGACAGCCTTACACATTAATTTTTTAAACAATGCAGTGGGAAATGTGTGGCAATCAACCTTTCTCCTCAACAAGAGCCTGCAATGGTGTAACTCTCTTTTTTCACCCGTTTGGACAACATGGGTTGAACTTCAGAGAGCTAGCAGGATTAACCCAAGAGTGGAAAGGGCCAAGGAACAGTGTCCAAGACGCTGGTAACTCCTGTACCACCCTGGAGCAACTTATCAAAATGCTGAAGCAATAAGCGTCAAGTGCCAGGTATTTCCAGAACTGATGGAAACACTCCTAGGATGCAGCCTAGGTATAAGCACTGCTGACAAACAGCAGTGCTGTAGACAAGAGCAGAAGCTTACCTAAACTTTATCATGTTCACTATAAACAGTTGAACATGAGTGATGGTAAAAAACTGGTAAGATACAGATGGTTACATTCCTAGTGCATGAGGAAAGCTTGAAAATTTCACAGTTCCATGCAGAGAAATGCAGTAGGTTTTCATGAATTCCCAAAGCTAAGCAGACATTTCCATTTTCTCAAACTGAAAATCAACAACTTAAATATATCGCATTGGCTACTTGCAAAACGATCTTAAACTAAACTGTTTTGACAAACAGATAAACAAAATCTTCTAAAAAACAAACTGAAAAAAACTGTTTGTCCTTAACATATTTCCTCTCCCTCACACTTTTCAACTCTATCAAGTGCAACATCTCTCAGCAAAGATGTTGATATGCAGTTAAAAGTTCAGCTATCAAAACCTCGCAGAGGGAAACAGACTACGTGACACACTAACCTAGAAGCAGAGTTGACTTGGTCTTTTAAAGGGCTGGACACCCCTGAAAAGAGAAGAGGAACAGATGAAGCATATTTCATAAACCACTCTGTGTGGACACATTTGTCTCCTATATATTAAATGTAATCTTGGAAAGTGAGAGACAAACCAACTGACCCACCGATTAAAGTCCCAGCAAGTAAGGAACCACAATGAACAGTACTACATCTCGTCTAATAGAAAGCACTACATCCCATGTGACTCCTGGGGACTATGGAATGGCTCCCTACTACGTTCAGAGTTTTGAGAAGACTCATCTCACAGAGCTTTGTTAGCACTATCCTGGACTGAAGTGGCTGGATCCTAGAGTAAGTCTTTGCTAATTCCTTCAAGTTGGACAGATGGCCATGCAGAGGCCATAAACCTTCTGCTCAAGAGGAGGAGATGAAAACAAATCTTAACCTGAAGTAGAAGAGACTTATCTATTAAATCCACTCAAAGCTAAGGGACATTCAACTTATTCCCTGGACTACATGTAGAAGATGACCCCCACCTGCATCCAGATGGTATTTCATTTTTTGGCTTGAAAAGAAATCAATGGATCTCCTTTTATGTTTAGCAGATTCTGGTTGAAAGCATTACAGCAAAGGGCACCAGGGTAAGCAAAGCTCACTCTAACAAACCTAACTGGGTAGGCAGCAGCCAGTAATCACAGAGGAATCTCATAATTCCATCCATTCATCCACCAACGAGGGAGATGATGGCCACTCATGCTCTCCAAACATCAAAAGCTCTAGCCTAGTTCTGCCACTATCCCAACAATCTCCCCAGATGATTCTCATCTCAAAAACACAAACAGAGGTCACAGCTAAACCTACTTTTGTATTTTCCACAGGCTGACAGCTGGCGCGTAGGCAACTACTGTGGAATGACTCGAGCCCCGCAAGCTCACACTTTTAACATGCTCTGCTTACTGCAGAGAAGAGAGTAAGCAACAGTCCCTGGTGCCCGGACCAGCAGCCTGGTCTTCCCTCTCACACAAGCACTGCCAGTCAAGCTACAAAAAGCCTACAACAGAGGATGTACTGAACTATCCGTGCACAGGAGCACAACGTAAGGCAAGCGTTAGCTTGCCCTGCAACTTGCCAGGTGAGTGCCAGGTGAGCACTTTGGAATTTTAAACAGAGCTCTGAAGGATGACCTGTCTGGTCTAGACACACACAAAACAACAAAAATAGGTAGACACACTTCATGCTGCAGAGGCAAGAAAGTATTTCCTGTGACAGGGAAAAAGAGGTCAAGCAGGCTTCCTCCAGGGATAATGACAGCATAAACTAAAGTTTGCATAAACTGCATTCTAACAGGGAATCAAACTACGTGTACTCAGTACCTATAAGAGATAAATGACTCCACCAACATTAATGATGACAATATAACTGATGGGAATGGCATATATGCTGTTACTACACATTCCTCCCAGTTATCAGGGTACAACTTGTGAACTGCGATTAATGGTTTCTTGCCATTTCCCTCCTGCTGCTGGCTTGGGTTTGTGTAGTACTTGCCTCTAATGAGACACTAAGCTCCACCATGAATTTCTACCTTTACACATTCCCAGTGCCAGAAGAGCTGTCTTCATCACAACAACTCATAGAATTGCATCTTCTTGCCCATTCAGTCAGATCTTGTACCCAGTTCCTCCAGGTCCAGAGAGACTTTTGCTAGCTGCTTTGGCAAGTGACGCTTCAAATCAGTAACCCTACAGCTGTGAATTCCCAAAGAAAATTATTTATTCACCATATATGTCTTTGGTATATGACTGCCACCTAAGCAGCAATGTATCTATTTATCCATTAAATAGTTTACACACCAAAGAAAGACAGAGGTCAAAGGCTGCAATGTGGCATGCAGTACAAGCACTTCCATTACCACGAGCAAAAGTAGAGGATATTTAGCAAAATTCAAGTTTTCATGAGACTGTCCAACATTAGAAAAACTGACAGTTAGGATGTAGGCACGCTTCACTGGGATTAGCAATGGGATAAAATAGGGATAGATTACAAACACACTGCCTTTATGCCCACAGACACGTGACATGTATTTTGAATACATATGGACATAATCAGGATTTGTGATGACATACACAAAGAAAAACTATAAATATCTTTGCTTTGCTCATTCAAACTCCTTTGACCATCATAAGGCCTTAAAATAAATTTCCACTATAGCATTTAAATTACTTCATCTGCACAAGGCATGCATTTAGCTAGTAAGGATATTAAAAAAAAAAAAAAAGAGAGAAAAAATTAAATAAGGTGATTTTTGTTCTTCACCCGTTTTTGCAGAACTAAAACAAGATTAGATTACATTTTGTATTCAAATTAATATTGGTATTAATAAATGAGCTTAGCACCATTTTTCTCAAATACTCTCAGAAGATATCCAGAATAAACTCTAAATCTCAAAATCAACATATTTGTACCCTTCTTAAGAAGGATGACTAAATATGCAGAGGTAAATTTAGTATTAAGTAATTACGACTTCTCTTAGTGCTCTGGGAAAACTGTCCTTTCTAGTCCAGCTTACGTTATTTTAATGCACACTTATATGATAACATTTCTCAAGCTATACTGCTACTCTTCAGTAATTTATTTGGTATACACATATATGCAAATTTGTGTGCAAAGAACCATTGTTCTGAGGTTTCATTTTTACTAAATTTTATTCTTTCATATCCAGTAGGCTCAGAAAGACTGAAACATGAAAACGGAGTAGAGTTAGAGATCAGGAAAAATAACAACATTTATGCTAAAATGACAAGAAGTGTTCCAGTCAGGACAAACCCACTACAGTTTCACCTGCTTGACTTTGGTATGAGTACAGCATTTCCTTACTGTCAGTACTCAAATACCCAGAAAAGAAACTTTACACTGGGTTAGGCTGCACAGAGAGAAGAGAAGTGAGCAGGGAGAGTAATAACTGCAGTTGAGGATAACCAAATTCTCAATTAACTTCTTGGTTATATTCTGATCATATCTAAACAAAAAAAAAAAAAAAGGCAAGAAGGTCTTGACATCCCACCAAACATACTGTCTTGAGAGGTTTTTCATATACATTACAGCAGAGGGACAAAAAACATTGTTCTGTTTTAATGGGGGCACTTTATGCATGCAAGTCCTGGTTTTTAAATACACAGCTAAATTATGTTCTTGACTCCACAGCCCTGACACATGGGAAAATTTATCATTACGCTTTCAATTTACCCCTAGTCAATTCCTTGGAAAGAAATTGACCTCTCAGTTCCTGACACACAGCATACATTCTACAACTTTCTATTTTGCAGAACTAGGGGCATGTAAAACCAAGGTTTATATTGGGACCGTTGGAGTGAGGAATCAGATAAACACATTAAAATAATTCATTGCCACGCATGGTACAGCCTCCTTGCTGACGCCAACCTCTCTTCCCCCTGGAGTCTAGAAAGCACAAAGGTCAGCTTCTTCTACCAACCATATGAAGAATGACATCTGTGCCATGAAGTCAGAGCAGCATATCTTTTAGCCAAAAGAGACAAATTACCCAAAAAGCCCTAGGCCAAATCTTGATGTACACTGCAGGCAGCAAAACTGTTACTTTTAAGCTGTATGTGAGTACACACATGTATGCTTACTCCCTCCTTGAGATCCAGTATGTATATCCTCAGTTACTGCTGACTGCTGTTCTACAAGTATTTTTTAAATTAAACTGTTTCCAAAAAACTTTTTCAAAAGACATCAGGTATTCTCCCAAGGGAAAAGCTAAGAAATACTTCAGAACACAAAGAATCTGGCACGAGGACAGCTTAAAGTTATCTACACAGATATGCAGATACAGTCTTGATAGACAAGACTGATCATACAGATGAATGTGAGTATGCCAAGATCTGCTCTGGTTTGAAGAGAAAAAGCAATAACAATTCCTCATAGCCCTATGAAAAGGAAGGATCTGTTGTTCAGGAGCTGTCTCACTGTTAAAGCAGATCTATTGATGCATGTCCTATAGTTCTGAGCCTTCTTAATGAAGAACGGAAGCAAGTTAACAGCAATAAAGACTAGGAAAACCCACAAAGGTTTTTAACATGAAAAGATAGAAAAGCCATGCTCCAAATTGCACCAGTAACTGGTTTTAAAGCAAAAAGCACAAGGGAATCCTTATTCGTTCATGTATGCTCACACACCAGGGCTACCAGGCACAAGAAGATCCTCTGTTTTACGGTGGTGGTTTTGGCTTTCTGCTTGGCATCAAATCTTTCTGCAATACAATATTGGATTATTAAGGCATATGTTAGAGATGCTTCTCAAATCTGTTCTGGAGGCAAGCTCTTCATTAATCAAACCATAACCTGACTCTCACTTGCCTTGTTTTTCAGATACAAGACAAGTCATTTAGTGTAACATTTGTCAGGTTTCCCTCCATTCTCACAGACTAAGACAAATCTGGGGTGCTGATGAGAAACAGCTGAAACAGTGAGAACATAAACTGTAACATATGAAAAATTGTCACAAAGCAACTCCTTCCACCATTTGGGAAGCCGATAAAGGATTCCCTACCTCTGTCTTTTTTTTTCCAGTTCCTCCTGTCAAAAATCTTATATATTTAAATGAAGAAGACATTCCTATTTCCAAGTTCCAAGTCCAATCTACTGACATTTCTTAGAATGCAGCCAGATTCATTTCCATCTCAAAACAACCGGCTGAGAAACCATGAGAACTTGAGGAATCAACTTTAAGGAGACTAGACTTTTGCAGGAGTTGTTAAAAATTCCTTCACTTTAATCATTCAATATAACCACAGACTGCAAATATGATGCATAGGTAGGTGACTAACCAGACAGAAAAATATAACAAAACCAAATTCAAAGAGAAATAGTACTTAAATTGAAAGATTTAAAAAAAAAAAAAAATCCCACAGTAAAAGTAAATTCATGTATTTAAAGAGAAGAAGAAAAAACCTTACTCTAATTTGCCCAAGCTCAGTGATTATGTTTCAAGGGTTTGGGCATCTATAATGCCCAAATTTCAAGCTTCCACCCAAATGCAGTTTCCAGGTCACAGAAACAACCAAAACATTATTAACTCAGTCATAATATTAAAAAAATGTTATACTATACATAAGTAATTGGATGTGTTTATACCACACACTAAGAGACATTAGAATAAACAAATGTAATTTATCTTTCCCTATTAAATGCTCCAGTTCTTCTGCCTAGCAAAAATCCCTCCTATTATTCCTGAGACTAATGCTGAATCATCATAAACTGCCTGCAGTAGTCACTAACACTTAGTGTGACATAGGTGTTACTCACAGTTATATCACAAATAGTTATCATATGCTATTCTCTATATTTTCTTATGCTACAAACCACAATAGGCCTACAAAGAGAGCTAGGATTAAAAAACGTTTGTACCAGCAAAAATAATTCAAAAGAGCAAGCACACCAAAAAAAAAAAAAATATCTGGGAAAACTACAGTTTTCCAATCACCTGCAGGAAAGGAAAGGATGCATAAAGCTAGACACAGTAATTAAAAAGATTTCAAGCTTATGCATGCCCCACACACCATGCTATCCATACTGAGAAAATCAGATGGAGTTTTTTCTTAAGCAGGCAACTAAAATATTAGAACCACTATACTTGTTTAAAATTCAAGTAACACAACTTGAGTTCCTGATCTTGTTCTTCTCCCTACTGGCTTTTATTACATAATTATCACCAGCAGCGCTAAAGGCTCCTCTTCCCTCCCTCCCTATGTGAAGTCAAACACAAAAAAAAACCTCTCTGCTGGTTGTCAAATTGCTGATTTCATCTCAAACTGTGTAATACAACAAACTTTATGTTTCAGGAGAACAGGAAACTTTAAAATTAGGCATTTCAGAACTAATTTGTGCATACAGATTTATGCAGGTTGTAACAAGAGAAACTATTCCATAATTGTCAGCTTCAATTTAATTAGGATGAAAACCTTTCAAATGGGGGTATGTTCATACACGTAAGTATGGAATTTTAAGTACAGTTCACATGACTGAAGTTAAGCACAGGGTTAAATTCTTTCCTAAACCAGGCCATGAACAACAAAGTAGAGGCTAACCTATTCGATGGTTGATCACAGACAAAGCTTCTGCACACTACTGAATTAAGAATTCAACATAAAAGCAAACACACTGTTAAAAACTTACTTGAAGCCTAAACTAAACTATGTTAAAATGAAATACCACAAAATCTTGACCTGAACGTATTTTATACAATTCTGTGATCCCCCGACTGTTTGTAGTTATAATTAAAATAAATGCTGGGTTTGAACTTCTCCATTCGACTGCAGAATGTCTGTGTGTAAGGGGTGGGGTGGGGGTGTGTCTAAATGAACTATGCTACAGTACCTGTGCATTACAGAAATAAAAAGGGGAAAACGCAGAACACAGTATTAACTGGGCAAGTTCGTTTTCAGTAACCAGAGGCAGCAATACTCACACTGTAAATTACAAAGGAGATCGATCCTCAGAAACACTTCTTGGGTTTCTCTAGCAATCTACAGTGCTGTTCACTATGCTCTCCTGACGTATTTTCTTAAACTCAGTTTCCACAGAGAATTATGGATTGAGTTTACTATCATCTTATAATCCTGTGCCAACAGGAATGCTAGCATCCACAAAAGCCCTAAAAGTATGTGGTCCAATTAATGAAAAAGTCCTGAACTACAGTTGCTTAAAAGGTAAGCAAGCAAATATTTTTCTGTTACCACTAATATTTTGGAATTATTTCTGTAAGTAGGAGGAACATGAGCAACCAGGAGAAGGAATGGGAATTGAAGAATCTTGTAAAGGTGTTGGTTTGGGTTTTTTAATTATTTGTATTCCATACAAATTAACTTCAGTCAGATTTGAATTAGATGACAGGACATTTAAAAAGCATACCTGTTAAATATGTTCTCACTTGCAGCGTACTTGTCCAATCTTCCCAACGGCGTCAACATTTCATCTTGTGAGACAAAGTCCAGGGCTGAAGGTATAATAATCACATCAGACTCTGAGCTGTAGTCATCCACACCAACTATCAGAGACATCAGAAATATTCCTTATAATCACAGTATTTTAACACTAAAATGATGTCTGTTGTTGGTCTGAAATACAGAAGTCTACGCAAGGTCCCCTTGACAATATATTTAGTAACTGTACTGCATCATTCCCCCCATCTTTCCCTATCCCCATAAAGCCTTTTCCATACAAGCATGACTGATGATGTATAGCGGATTTTGAGTCATTTTCTCCAAATTCCCAAGTAATATGCATCACTAAATTTCCAAAGTTCCCGGTATTTTTGTCTGACAAACAGTATTTTCATACCTTATATTTTTATCAAGTAAATTACTTTCAGCTGTAAAGTAAAGTCAGCGTTTTGAAGACACATACTAAAATCATCGCGGTAATTTGCCCAGAGACAGAGTTAATACAACATGAACTAACAGAACAAAAAGACTTCTTTGTTTGTAAAAAGAAAAATCTAAATTAAACCTGTTAAAAGAGTACGTTGCTAGATACAACTACCAAATAAAAGATGCACAATTCATCTAACTGCATAATTATTAACCAGCATGTCAACAGGGAACTTCACATACACAGACACCTTTATCAACATGGAACCACAAAGAAGTGGAAAATAGGTCCAACCCTGCTCTGCAGAGCTGCTTGAAGACTTAGCATTCGAATTACCACCTTTTTTAGTTTCCATATGCCCTCTAAACTACTCTAAAACTCAGTCCCATAACAAACACAGACTTTAGCCTGAAAATACAATCAGTTATTTGCAAGAACTATGCCAGGTCATCTCTGTTACTCCTGCACAGTACACTACACTACCCCTATTCTTCAGCTCAGCCAAATTTCTCTGAAAAGCCTTTTCGAAACTTGCAAAATAGAGAATGCCAGAAGACAGACAGATCTACAAGTCCAACAATGATTTCTTTTTTTTTTAATGAGCTTTATAGAAGGAAGAAAAAATATTTTTGTCCTCTTACCTTCCATACAATTATGATATCCTACATAAATTGGTTATCAGGCATTGTATCATTATCTTCAACATTCAGAATACATAAACAGCTACCATCTTCCTTACAATATTTCAAGTGCCAAAAGACAAACACTAAACTTCTCTGGAAGAGTAATATTTTTAGATCTAAACTGAGTTAACAGCACCCTTTTACGAACAAAGTATTTCTCCCATTTTCTATGTAGAGAATCCATGGACATCAACTGGTTATAAATAGATCCCATCCTTGCAGGAGGGTCCAAATTTTGCAGTTGCCGATATGCAGTCGCATGGCATTCTTGCCAGAAATCAAACAAAGAACTGATGGGGAAAGAGCAAGTGTGTAAGAAGAATCTGGCAGATGGGGGTAAGGAAGAAAGTGTACTATGAGCCACAGTATATGAAGAGCAATCTGAGGAATCACTGGTCTTGGATACACATAAGGTAGAGGATAGGATAACAAACGGCAGGGGGAGGAAGGGAAGGCTGAAAAGAAAGATCAGCTGTGAAAAGCTTTTGCAACACCGTGTGAAAGCATTTAGCAACCCCAAGTTTACATAACTGTTTGAACCTGTGTTTGGTTTGGTTTTGTGGGTTTGTTCGCGTTTAATTTTTGTTGTTTGGTTTGGGATTTTTGCACGAATCAGTTTTGTTTTCACAGGAAGTGGAGGGGGCGAGTGTTAAAATGCACCGATAATGCAACTCTGACTTTATGCCAGGTTAAGTTAACAAGGAACAGGTGACATCCTCTCACAGCCTCATGGGCCTTTAATTCAACCCATCAATCCAACTGAAACCAGGGGTTTCCCTGTGTTTATAGTTACGCCATCTCATACCTAGACTATTTCAGTGGAAGGCAGCTTCAACAATCATCTAGTCCGACTGGCTGAACACCTCAAGGCTGACTAAAAGCTTAAGCACTTCCTGCTCCCCTTCCTGTCCCCAGGAAGCTGCAGGGAGTGATGAGGTGGCTCCTCAGCCTCCTTCTCTCCAAACTAGGCAAGACCAAGGTCCTTAGTTGTTCATCACAGCAACATTTTACTGTATGTGAGCTCCTGCTGTCCAGGGCTGACTGAAGACACACTTTGAGACAACAAACATACTCTGCAGCATCCACAGAAGAAATTTCACACAGATACTCTTCATTCCAGGTAACAAACCAAATCCCTGTATTCAGGCCAATTTCAAAACTACAGAACTGAAATTACTGCAGTTAAGTTGTGACACAACCAACTGGGGAGAAAAAAAAAACCTAACTCTCAAATATTCACTGAAATTGACTCTATGACAGAGCCCTGGTTGTTGATTACGCTATAAATTCAAAAGCATAAACTGAAGAAACCATGTTAAAAACCCAGCATCATTATTGCCAGCAGTATAATTATTTAGCTATCAAATGCATGAATAGGGAAAAAATATAAATGCTGACCATTATATGAACCACCACTAAATTAACTTCCTCCATTTCTCTCTTCTCAACCTCAACTTTATCTTTCGCATTCCTCCTTTTCCCCTTCTACATTTATTCTTCCCTAATAGTCCTACAGTGAGTGGTCCAACGTGGAGCCATCTTAGATGATACAGGACTGCTCACTCTTACACAGACATCAATGTATGTCTGTGTTACAAGACAAAGGTCACTACATGTCTGATGCCTTTGATTTAGCAAACTGAATGTTGTCAACAATCAGTTAAGTCAACTGAAATGCTAAATCCACTCTATATCAGATGTAAATATCAATGATAAAAATATGAGCACCTACTTACAATTTATCTGTTTGATGTCTCCTACTAGTTCCAACAGAAAGTGAGTTCTAAGGATTTGGCTCTGCTGTGCTTGTGCATTGTAAAATTAAGCTTAACACTACACTGGGCTTCGTGTGCCTTGGTTACTGAGGCTGAACAACATTTATTATTTAAACAATTCCAGTATCTCAGCTCGTAGTCTCAGAAGAGATCATTCAAATGGCAGCATCCTTATAAACACAACACTAATACCAACAGGGAAGAAAAGGGTGATGAAAATAAATCAATCAGTATATGACCAGTTTATAGCTCTAGTAAAGTACTATTACAGTTATCTTACATATTCATTTCCACTTTCAACATCAGAACACGCATCCAAGAAATAAAAAGGCAGCCTACTAGAATTCCCACTGTAGCAGAGGCCCTCAAGAAGATGCTTCTCTTTAACTTGCCAAAAATATGATTCCCCAGTAATCTAACCACTCCTCATCTAAAATGCATAAAGGGCATACTTTGAATTATTCAATAAACCAAGTCACTTTGCTCTTCCCTACACTTGGAAGGTTATTCCAAAACAGTTATCAAAAAGGCTGTTAGCTGAATATTGCCTCTTCAGCCCTCCTCTGCTTTCCACCCAGCTTTGAGCACTTGTCCAAGTACTGCAGGACCTTTTGAAAATTTTACAAATGCAAAAGACACCCCTGAACAACACAAGTGTACTGGTTCTCACTGAGATAGTTAAAATTCTTCATAGCAGCTTGTATTTTGTGCACCTCCAACCTATTCACTAGCAGGGCAATGGGAGGAGTGGAAAAGGCCTTGACACTGTGCAAGCACTGTGTTCACGTGCTATCAACACTAGTTTCAGCACAAATCCAAAACATTGCCCCATACATGGTACTACAGAGAAACTGAACTCTAACCCAGTCAAAACCAGTACAAATCTTGGCTAGTGCAAATGCAGAACATCCAGATTTATTCCCACCTCAGAATGCAGACTAGGCAACAGGGCCACATGTTACATTCCTGCTGCAGAAAAACTATAGGTCAATTTTCTCTGCTTTTTTAAACAAATATGGACCAAATGCTCAGAAGGCATCTAAGCTACAAGACAGTGCTAAAAACCAACGCAAGAGGAGAGCCTACCTGCCTTCTAATCTGGTCTTACATGTTTACATGGACATGCAAAAGTAGACCTAAGAAAACAGGAGTTTCCATAAAAACACCCTATCCCAGCATTTTAAAGTCACTAGTAGTGTCAGAGAGAGAAACAGCAATTGCACAATGGTATGAAAAGTGATCACAGTGCCCCTATTTCTGTCCACACAAGTACCAAATCAGAGCAAAACGAATAAATACATTCATTTATCCAGACTAAGTTTGCAAATTTCTCCTCAAAACTCTACACCAACTACCACCAAACACAAGGCAGCACCCCATAACAAGACAGTCAAATACTGAAACAAAATCCTGGTGTATCTGACCTGGTGTATCAGAAAACTTCTCCTCTCTATACCTTCATTTTCCTGTCCAAACATTTGCTTTTTGTAGTTGTTCACGTTTGTCTATCTATTTTGCATCTAGTCCATACTGTACCATGAATATATAAACACCCCCCCCCCTTTAAGTTCTGTTTGCTATGGCAAGGATACAACAATTACTTGCCACAGTTACTACCATGGACTATAGAGCAATCTTGCTCAGAGAGTCTATGTCTAGAGGTGCTTAGCCAACTGCTGCCAAGCTTGGCTGAGCATACAACAAAACAGAGGTCCATTGAAAACTCAGAACCCTATAAAAAACAGCCTGTAGGACAATTTTCAACTGAGCTCATTTTTCTGTGTATCACATCTTCATAGTGTCTTTCATGAGGATTTTGATCATACTGAGACTTTTACAGACAGGTGCACAAGTTCATGTCTGAAAAAATAACAACTATTTTTCTTTTATTTAATAATGCATGAACTCTTGCCGTAGACTGTTCAGTAGCAAAGCCTACATGTATTCTTTTTGTTCTTCTGTATTTGCCATGGGCTCCATGGCAGAAACATGTTCTCCCTCATTCTGGCATAGAAACTCAGTTATAAGAAGCAGCAAATTCTAAAAAGTAAGCCATTTTTAATTCTTAAAGCTGAGCAACAGACAGCTTTAAAGATTCAAGATTTCCAACTAATATTACAGTTTCCTCATTTTATCTTCTGCATTCCCAAAACATCCTCAAGATCTATTACACAGTGTCTATGGCAGCTGCTACAGATATATCTACTAAAAAGGACTAA